CGAGCGCGCGCACCGGGGTGGGGGTGCGCCGGGGACTCCCGGGTCCCCTATCCCTCGCCCCTCGCCCCCATCTTCTTTCTTTGGGCAGCCCCCTTCTCTCCAATCGCGCACACACCCCGCCGCTGCCTCGTCCCCCCACCGCTGCCTCGCCTCCCCCCCCATATTGTCAATCTTCTTTGGCGTGGGGTCTTTTCGGATTGGCAGAATGTACCCCCAGGGAAGACACCCGGTGAGTGGGGGTCCGGGCTGCTGGGGGGGGCCGGGTGCTTGAGCACTGAGACCTTGACACCCCCAGACCCCTCTCCAGTCCGGCCAACCCTTCAAGTTCTCGATCTTGGAGATCTGCGACCGCATCAAAGAGGAATTCCAGTTTCTTCAGGCTCAGTACCACAGGTGAAGGGGGGCTGGGGTGCTACCCCCCAAGAGAACCGGGGAGTTCACCTGCGAGCCCCAGGAGAGGGGCGGGGCGCTGGGGGCCAGGGTTTCTGGCCGGCGGGGGCGTGGCCTCCTGGGTGGAGGGAGGAGGAAGGATGGAGGACCCCTCTACCCCCAGACTAGAATCACCGGAGAGGTGTCTGCCCGGGACATTTGGAGCCTGGGAAGGGTTGGGGTCGCTGGGGCCAGAAAGGCAAATCCATCACTTTGGGAACAGGCCCAAACAGGGTGTTGGGGTCTCCCACTGGGGGGTTAGGGCAGGTGCAATCCCCTACCTGTGTCCTTCCCAGCCTCAAGCTGGAATGTGAGAAGTTGGCCAGCGAGAAGACCGAAATGCAGCGACATTATGTCATGGTGAGGAGGGTTACCAAGTCAGGGAGGGGCCGGACGGGCGCTTGGCTTGAGTGGGAGCGCTCAGGACTGGCCAGTGACCCTCGGGTCAGCCCCTGCCCTCTCTGGGCTTCCTTTTCCCTCTCTGTAAACTGGTCTGGTTGGGATTCCAGATGTTCTCTCTTAAGAACAATGACACAAGGCTGACCTCTGTCCCCATGGACATCTCTGTGGGGCCAGGGCTTGGGCACCACCTAACTGCCCCCCTTCTCTCTTTGTCGAGAATGGGGGGCCCTGCTTTTTCCTTTGGGCTCCCTCTCTGGGGGTCGAGGGCTCTGGGTTCTGCTGTGTCTGTCTCCCCCCACCCCACAAGACCCAGCATCACCGGTGCGGGCTGGGCACTTGTCGCTGGCAGCCCTCCCCAGCCCTGCCCAGCGCCTTTTCTTCTGCAGTACTATGAGATGTCCTACGGGCTCAACATTGAGATGCACAAGCAGGTGACGTGTGTGTGTGTGTGTGTGTGTGTGTGTTGCAAATCAGGGTGCTGAGTAGGGAGGGTGGGGGGCCCTGGGGCTGCAGGATGGGTGGGGCAGTGTCCACCATATGGGGCAAGCAGACCCAGGGCATAGGGCCCTTGTTTTGTTTGTTTTAAGATTTGTTTATTTGTGCATATAAGAACTGGGGCATAGGCCAGAAATGGGGGGGGGGTATTGGTGGAGAGGATTCACCAGAAGAGTGAGGAACAGAGCAGGCAGACTGAAGTACACTGTGTGGGGAGCCAGAGCAGCGGGACAGGGAGGTCTGCTGTGCCTCGGGGTCACTCCCTGGCCAGCCCTGGCATGGAACTGGTGCTGTGGTGACTGGCAGTAGCTTGATAGCTTTGTCTTTAACCCCTGAGCCACCAGGGAGGCCCAGGAACAGGGGTCTCCTTATCTTGAGTCTCTGGGGCCAGGAAGGTGGGTTTTAGCCTCATGAAAGGAAAACAGTTCTGAACTCACTTTTTCCAGCACGGCTGAGAGTGGTGGTGGGCACCAGGCTTCCCCAACAGGCCAAGGGGGCTGTGGAGGTGACCTGGGGGGTAGTCTTGGTGGTCCCTTCCGGTCCAGTCTGATGTTTGAGGGTCTGAGCTGGACCCCAGCATCTGTTGCTGTTCTGAAGGTTCTGAGTCTGGCTGTTGCTCCCAGGACCTGAGCTTAGGAGTCAGCTTCCTGCAGTGATCCAGGGACTAAGTTGGACCCAAGTTTCTGAAATGGACCCCAGTTGCCCAAGATGCATCCTGAAGCTGACTTCAGGGTTCTCAGGTGGCTTCGTAAGGGGGGTCGGAACGTAAGATTCTCAGGCTGGCGGAATCTCACGTTCTCTTCATCGGCATCTTGTCAGTAGCGGAGTCTCTGGGGGTGGGGAGAAGCCGGAACGGGGAACCTGCCGGGCGTGTCTTTCTGGCTGTGGGTGGGCTCTGCTGGTCCTGGCGTGGCCAGAGGAGGCCTCTCTGCCTGGAGACGCATGTCCCCGGGGTGCACGAGGCACGGCTGCTTGTGGGCCGGGAGGCAGGCAGAGGACTCGGGGCCCAGGGCCCGGTTCTGTCCTGCTGGAAACAGGCACTCCGACACGCAGCACGCCGGTCACGCAGGGAGCCCCAGCCCACGGCTTCCCTCCGCCCACCCTTGTGCCCCCCCCCGACCCAGGCTCCCCAGAGCTGCCCTTCCACTCTGCGGAGGCCACCCGTGGTCTCCTGCCACGGTGCGCGATGCTCGCTGGGCCTGGCCGCTGGGACCTGGAGCTCCTCTCTGCGGGCCTGCGGCCTGGAGTGAGCCCGCTCTCCAGGGTCAGGGCACAGGCCCACGGGCTGCCTCCCCCAGGCCCCACTCTCAGGTTCTGGCCAGCGGTTATAACTCGGCTCTTATGAACCCCTCTTCCGGTCCAGTGGTTTGCTAAAACAGCTCACAAAACCCAGGAAAACACTTTACCTGCTAGCGTCTGTTTATTATACAGCATATGACTTGGGGACACGCAGGCGGGAGACCAGAGACGTGGGGGGATGGGGGGGTACGATCCCGAGGTGCACCTCTCAGCAGCAGCTCTTATTCGCCCGGCTGAGGCTCTCCTGACCCCTTGGGGCGGGCGGGTGCTCTCTGGAGGGCTCAAGTGGGCAGGCAGATGGGCCACTCAGCCTCCAGCCCCACCTCTCCCTGGAGGTGGCGGTCTGAGAAAGGGGTGGAAAGTTCTATCCCGCCAACTAGCTCAGGTTTGAAATAAGGGGCTTACTGTGAATGAGCAAGACATCCTCCCCACTGCTCAGAAGTCCTAAGGGTTTTGGTGTTCTGTGCTAGGAATTTCAGGCGAAGATAAATTTTTTTTTTATTTTGGATCTGTACCTGCCATAGACCCGACAGGGGCTGTCCCTGGGAGACGTGCGCCCAGCCAGGGCTGGACCCTGGGGCTCCCTCCAAGGCCTAGCGGCCCAGCGCTGGGTGTCCACTTTGAGCCGGGCCTTGTGTCCACTTTCCCGGAAGCCTGCCGGGGTGGGGTGTCTGCCTGGGGCAGCCATCTGGCAAACAGCTCCTTGCCAGCCTCAGTCTGCCCCTAAGCCTGTGCCTCAGTGGCTCCATTTCCCTACTTGCATCTGTGGGTGACACTCTGCAAAGTTCAGCTGTGCCCGGAAGAGCCAGGCTTCAGGGCCTGGCTTGAGAGCCTTCTCCCTGTGCCTCCCGGTAGGCCGAGATTGTGAAGCGCCTCAGCGGGATCTGTGCCCAGATCGTCCCCTTCCTGACCCAGGAGGTGAGTGGCCTGACAGCATGGGAGAGGGGCAGCAGGAAACGAGGGGGTGGGTATGGTTGGGTGTCTCAGGCCCTGGATTCCTGGGTAGCTGGGGACCTGGGCACAGACGGGGGCAGGGGCTTCAGGAATGGAAGAGGGGTCAGCTGAGGGTTAGGAGTGGGGGCTTCGAGCCCTCCGGAGAGACTGCCTGGGTCCCCACCCTGGCTGTGTGGCCTTGGGCACGTTGCTTGCCCTCTCTGTGCCTCTGCAATGAAGTTTAAATTAGCTCATACTTAGAGGCGCTGCGGAAGATGCCAGGTGCTTGCTAAGCCCCCGATGGAAGTTCACCCTTAACGGTGCTCTGTGAAATAAGCCAGACACCACAGGACAAACCCTGTCTGATTCCACTGGCAGAGCACCGGGAATAGTCAGACCCTGCACCAGAGTAGCGTGGCGGGAGTGGCGTTTCCGCCGCAGTCCAAGGGCCCAGAAGCCACATGTGGCTTCTTTACAGCAGCACAGAGCAAATTTTATTACAAACAGTCCCATGGCCCTGAGCGAGCACACCACAGCCACTGCGCCAGGTGAGGCTCAGGACTGGGAGGGAGCCAGACGCAAGTGGACAGACGGGATGAGCCCATAAACCGCACTTGACCCTTGACCGAGATGGGTCTGGGCCCACCTGGGCGTGGCTTTGGGCACATGCAGTTGGCGCTCCACCCAGATCCACTCGCTGGGTGCTGGTGCAGTCTGGGGGTGCAGAACTTGTGGAAATGGGGCAGGGGGCTGACGCTAAGGGACTTAAGCGCGCGTGGGTTTTGGGACCCGAGGAGGCCCCTGATTCCGATCCCCAGGGAACCACTGTGGTTAAGCTGCCTTTTCCACTCCTTCGGGGTTCGCGCCCCTGTGTGGTTTAAGGGTCAACTGTAGTTCACATGACAGATTCAGGCAGGTTTATGAAGGCGGCCTTAGGCGGTGATGTTGTGCAGAAAGACAAAGGCGCGATTGTGTGAGGGGTGGAGGGGTGCTGTCACTGGCTGGGGTTGGGGGCTTCTAGGAGCTGCCAGTTTCTAACTTTCGGCCTGAGTGCTTGGTGGCTGGGTGCTGACCTTCTGGCTAGTGGTTCTTTACCGGGGGGGCGATCCTGCGATACGTGGGGACCTCTGTGGTTTCCCACCTCGCCCAGCACCCATGGGCCCCCACAGACAGTGACTTGGCCTCCCTGTGGGCAGTGCCGGAGGTGGGGGGGCCCTGACTCGTAATGATTAGTTCGAACCGAACTTCTCTGCTGCTGCTTCTTGCCTGTTTGTTCCATGATTGAAGAAGGGAGACAGGAAAGAAGGGAGCGAGCCAGGGCCAGGGTGGGGCGGGGGAGCAGAAGGCGGGCCTCCGTGGAGCTCTTCCCCGCACCCCACCCCCAGCACCAGCAGCAGGTGCTGCAGGCCGTAGAGCGAGCCAAGCAGGTGACCGTGGGGGAGCTGAACAGCCTCATCGGGGTGAGTCCCCCCAGCCGCTGCCCCTTGGTCGGGGGGTTCTCTCCCTGGGACCCCTGGCACGCAGTGCTACGGCGGGGTGCTGGGTGGGCAGCTGACCTAGGCCCGGGCCACCCTGGGACCCCCCATTCCCTCTGCCCGACCCCTGCCCTCCCCTTGCTGGGTGCCCACCTCCCCACTCCACCCCTGCTCTGGCCCACCCCTCCTCCTCTCCAGCAGCAGCAGCTCCAGCCCCTGTCCCACCACCCCCCCACGGTGCCCCTGGCCCCTCGCCCCGCCGGGCTGGTGGGCGGCAGCGCCACGGGGCTGCTGGCCCTGTCCGGAGCACTGGCCGCTCAGGTGCAGCTGGCCGCGGCCGCCAAGGAGGACCGGGCTGGTGTGGAGGCCGAGGGGGCCAGAGGTGAGTGGGCCTGCGCGGGGAGCGTGGGGGCGGGGAGAGGGGAGAGGGGAGGCAGGCTCTCCGCCCAGCTGGAGTGACCCTGGGCAAGTCACGGCCTTCTCTGGGCCTCACCTGGAGGTGCCGAAGGCTGCTGAGAGGGGAGGCTCTCAGCTGGCAGCGGGAGGCCCGCGGATCGCTGTGCCCCCGCCCTGCGGCTGTGAACCCCTCATTCTTTTTCCTTCTCTCTCCCCCACTCCCAACCGCCAGTGGAGAGAGCCCAGAGCAGGGTAAGTTGTGGGGTCCCCGGGGCCTTGCCCTCTTGTGCCTGTTATTTGCTTTGTGTTCAGATGCGGCTGAGGCTGTGTATTCTGAGCCCACGGGGCCTCAGGGGGACACCCACACCCCGCTTTCAAACTGTCACCCAGAGCCTTTTTGCACAGGCGATGACCGTGGGCTAGAATTTCATTTAATTTTTCACTCTCGCGCTGTGTTGGCCACTGAGTAAATGAGTGCTCGTGTGTGTGCTCCCGGCCGCCTCTCCCCTCGCTCATTCCCACGCCAGCCACTTGGTGACTGTGGCCCGCGAGCGCTCTGCCGTGGAAGTGCTATGGGCCCGCGATGTCATTTTTTTTTTTTTTAAAGATTTATTTATTTGTGCATACAGAACTGGGGTACAGGCCAGAGGCTCAGGGGCGGTGAGAGGCTTCACCAGAGACAGAGCAGGGAGCAGAACAGGCAGATCTACGAAGTACACTGCCTAGAGGAGCAGCAGGCGGGTCAGGAGAGGTCTGCCAGGCCATGTGGTCACCTCCGGGGCAGGCGGCAGGCGGGAATCGAACTCATGCGGAAGCGGCTTTAGATTCTCAGTGCTGTGCTTTAACCTGCTGCGCCACCAGGGAGGGCCCGCGATGTCATTTTTTTAAGTGGTTAATTTAAAAGAACAGTGGAGGTTGCCAAGACGCGTGCATGGCAGTTCCCAGAGCCCCCTGCGCCCCCCACCCCAGTATCATCTTGTATCACTGAGGTGCCGCAGCCCCAGCTGACCTGGGCGTCCGGCTCCCTCACCCTCGTGTGTGCGTGCGTGTCCCGTCGTTCTCTGCGGCCTGGGGACAGGCTTAGCCGTGTCTTGCTGGGCCCCTTTCAAGCACTCGACAGGCCCAGGCGGCGATACTGGCCGCAGCACCCACCGAGGCCCAGGCGCAGCCTTGAGCTGAGCGTCCCATAGCTGCTAGCAAGCCTCTTCCCCTCAGCTCAGAGGTGCGCACCCGGGTCACCGACCAAGACAGGGAGGCACAGAGAGGCCAGGGGACTTGCCCGAGGTCACACAGTGAATGAGAAGGCCGGGCTTGGCTCGCACGCTGCTTTCCCTGGGGGGGGACGTGCTCTGAGCTGGCACATGCCGCTTTCTGCTTTCCGCCCTGCGGCTCTGCTTCTCGTCCCAGCTGCCACCCTGTGCTGGGAGTGGCTTGGACCCCTGCGGGTAGCTGGATCTGGCACCCGTCTGGGAGACTGGGCTTCCGGAAAGGGAATCAGCCGAGAAAGACCTCCGCAGTCAGACGCTCAGGGTCACTGCTCCTGCGGCCGGGCGGGACACTGAGGCGCCCTGGGGGCAGCCGAGGCGAGGGTGCACCTCAGTGCCAGCCCGCCGGCCTCTGCCGGCCCTGCCCGGGGTCCCTGTCACCCGCTGGTCAGGGCTGTGCCACTGGCACCTGACGCGCTAAGTGCCCACCTGGCCCCGACGCGGCGCAGCCCGGCTTCCTGTGGGCTCAGTTTCCCCGTCTGTACAATGGGGTTAACCGTAGCTCCTGACAAGCTTGTTGGCCGCCAAGCATTTAGCACCCAGTGAGCCCTTTGATGGGCCCGTTTTCCAGGTGGGAAGCTTGAGGCGTAGACCCTATGACACCTGCGGGTGGGACTGTCCGTCCAGGACCGCTGGGCCCAGCCTGACCCTTCCTCCCACCTGGCCTGTGTGTGCAGAGCGCCTCCCCGTCGCCGCCTGAGAGCGTGGTGGAAGAGGAGCGGCTGAGCGGCCCCGGGGGCAGTGGGAAGCAGAGAGCTGACGACAAGGAGCTGTCTGGGCCGTATGTGAGTTGGGCCAGGCGGAGGCTGGGGGCAGGCAGTGGGTGGGCTGGGCTAGGTCTGGGCCCTGCACGCCTCCACTCGCCCCCACCCACTGCCCCGAGCCCTCAGCACATGGGCAGTTGTGACCTCAGAGTCCCAATCAGACCCCCAGACCTATCGGTGAATGCTCCCCTTCTGAGGAGAGGTAAGGGGGGTTGCTTAGGGCCACCGCTCTCCATCTCCCCCCAGGAAAGCGATGAAGACAAGAGCGATTACAACCTGGTGGTGGATGAGGTGAGTCGGGGTCCCCCATCCTGTTCTGACCCCGGGGACTCAGCCTGGGAACTGGGAACACAAAGAGCAAGCGACAGCTTCTCTGGGGTGAGACCTCCCGACCCACTGCTGTCCGGGGTGGTTGGCGGGGGTGGGGGGGTGCCAGGGCCAAGGGGCGTGGGGGTCTGGACCCTTGAGGTCCACTGCCTCTCTGTAGTGCAGTTGGGGAAACTGAAGCCCCGAGAACACTAGAGATGGGCAGCAGAAGTGACTTCAAGCCCTGGCACACTGTCACACCCTTCCCTGGCCTCTTGTTTCCCATCAGTTTGGGGGGGAGAAGCAGTCCCTTCTGTGCCTACGGACTACGTCCCCCTACGAAACCCCTTTTACAGACAAGTAAGCGGAGGCACAGGAGGTTTCTGACCCTCCCAAGGTGGTTGTGGGTGCTCAGTCTGGAAGTCGGGGTGGGCTTGCGAGGGGGTAGGCAGGACCGCCTTCCTCTCCCACTTCACTCCCACTCACCCTCACCACCTCAACCTAGGACCAACCCTCCGAGCCCCCCAGCCCAGCCACCACCCCGTGCGGAAAGGCACCCATCTGCATCCCCCCCCGCCGGGACCTTGTGGATAGTCCGGCCTCCTTGGCCTCCAGCCTCGGCTCACCTCTCCCCAGAACCAAGGAGCTCGTCCTGGTAAGGAGCGGGGGGCCTTGAAACTCCCTTTATTTATCCCGGGCCCTGGAAACAGATATTGCCCAGCAATGTGGCGCTGAATCGACTGGCGGTGCTCCGTGTACTGCAGAGACGGTGCCGTCATCAGTTTTTTGCCACCTTCCTAAACATCACCTCTCCCTCATTCCGGTAATTTTTCCCCCAGCTGACTCATTCTTTTGCACTTGAATAACTATTAAAAGGCAAGCTGGTCAATTAACTTTGGAAATACATATTAAAAGGCAACTTGCCATCTTCCACGGAAACTGTCTCCTGCGATAATAGGGCGCGTGGAAATAAAGGAGTGTGACTGCTCAGGCCGGCTCCAGCTGGAGGCCTAAGGCCGGCCAGCCCAGACATTGCCCTGCGTCACCCCGCTTGGCCCGCGTCTCCAGATGTTGGGCGCCAGCGCAGGGGCCACCCAAGGCACCCCCGTGGGCATTCACTCCCACCCCTCTGCGAGTCTCCCCAGCCTCCTGCCCTGCACTCATCTGGGGGAACTCTGCTGTGGTATGGCTGTTTCTAGGTCTCCCCGCCCCAGCAGGTTGCTATGGCAACCGCCTGAGGTTGGGGCTCACATTACAGCCCAGGAGGGGGGGTAGGGGCAGCACCGTTCTAATGAAGAAGCCCCCATAAAACCTCCCCACCTCTGCCCCCATTTTGGCTTGGGGTGCCAGCGTGCTGCCCTAATTCGTGCGCCTGGTGGGAAGACGGGGTGCTGGCCAGCCAGCCAGGGCTGGGGTCTCCTGAACGTCAAGGTGCTCATGGCAGGGAGCTGAGCCGCAGAGTAGGGGGTGCCCTGGCATGGGGGTGCAGTGCCCTCTCCTCCACTGTCCCCCGCCGGGGGTGCCCCTTCCCAGAGGCGCAGGAGGAGTCCGCCAGTCCTCGCCCGTCCCTCCCCCGGGAGCAGTGGGTGGCCTCCTGCCTCATGAGTCCACGCAGGCCCTGACTATCTCCTGCCCTCCGGGAGCCCCTGTGCCTGCCTGGCCACACCCTCCACTCGCAGTGGCTGGGCTGTCTGCACCAACACCGACACCTTTGCGGGTGCTCTTCCTGCAGGCGCCCTGTGCGGTCGCTCTGTGGGGCGGCCCCTCCCGGCTCGGGTGCTCACGTGGCAGGCAGCAGCTGTGCCCAGCCCTGGTGCTGACCCCAAAATGCAGGGGTGTGCTACTTCCACACTCCTGCCTCCCGGAGCGGGCACCTATCCTGTTTTGTTTTGTTTTTAAGATTTATTAGTGCTCTTGTAGCTGGGGTACAGGCCAGAGGTGTGGGGGTGGTGTGAGGGGATTCCCAGAGACAGAGTGGGGAGCAGGACAGGCGGATCTACTGAGTCCATGCTGAGGGGGGCAGCGGGGAGACAGGAGTGGTCTGCTGTGGGTCACTCCGTGCCTGGGGATCGCACTGAGGCCGTGGTGGTTGCAGCAGCTGGTGGCTGAGACTAGCCCCTGTGCCCGGGGAGGCCTGGCCCCCTCTGTTTCTGACCATCCCGGGTCAGGAGGCTCCAGGTGCCTTGCGGTGACCCATCCCGCCCTTTCTCTGCAGAACGAGCTTCCCGCCAGCACTCCGGCCCCCAAGTCCTGTGACTCCTCCCCACCCCAGGACACGTCCACCCCCGGGCCCAGCTCAGCCAGCCACCCCCGCCAGCTCACTGCCAAACCAACACCTTCCACCGACAGTATCGGTGAGACCCACTGGCACCCGCCAGGGCAAATGTCTCCAGGGGCTCTAGAAAGCGTGGGGTGGGGCGAGGTTTGGATTGAGCCCTGGCACCGCCTTGCCCCTTGGGTGCTGCTGCCTCGGTGCATCTCAGAGTCCTTTTGCCTTGGCTTGGGGGTGGGGGACTGAGGCCAGAGAGGGGAAGGGCCCACACAGAGGATTCAGCCTACGCGTTAGGAGGAGGGGCTTTAGCGTTAGACTGGCCTGGGTTTGATGCCAGCCTTGGACGCTTGTCAGCTGTGTGACCTTGGGCCAGTGACCCAACCTCTCTGATCCTCACTTTCCCTATCAGCTACGTGGGGAGGATGGTGTTCTTTTCTGACTTAGGGCTGGGCCCTCTGTTGGTTCTGGGGGCCCAGAAAAAATGAGCCCTGAAACTTTCCCTGAGGAGCTCCTATATAGTGGGGACGAAGAAGCACATCTCTCCATCTGTGCTCCATCGTGATCAGGGCTAGGCAGAGAGGGACCCAAGCCCAGAGAGGTTGGGGCCCAGGGGCGGGTGGGGAGGCTCAAGGATGGCCCTGAGATGCTGCCAGACATTGGCCAAGGCTTTGAAGACTGAGTGGCCAGCAGCTGCAGAAGCTAAGACTGGAGAAGGCCAGGGAAGGCATGGCGCCCGAGGGGCCATCTGTGAACGTCTAGAGGAATGAGGGCCTGGCGGTGCCGGCCGGAGCCGGGGCTGGCTGCACGAGGGGGGGCCACACCGAGCAGGAGTCAGGGTGCGGCCCCAGGTGCCTCAAGACCTGTCTTTATCTCTCCTCCCTCAGCCCTGAGGAGCCCCCTGACCCTGTCCAGCCCCTTCACCACAGCCTTCAGCCTTGGGTCCCACAGCGGCGCCCTTAATGGGGACCTCTCTGTGCCCAGCTCCTACGTGAGCCTCCACCTGTCCCCCCAGGTCGGCGGCTCTGTGGTGTACGGACGCTCTCCCATGGTGAGAACCCGGGGCGGGCAGCAGGAGGTGCCACCAGGCCGGGGTTGGGCCAGGGAGAGCAACGGGGTGCACAGGAGAGACGGGTGGGGGAGGAGCAGGAGTCTGGGCCTCGGCACGTGTGCGTGGAGGTGGCCGGAGGGACGCAGTGGCCGCCGAGCCTGACCCACATACGGTGCACGGCTGGGAAGAGTGACCGTGACCGCGCGTGAAAGGAGCAGGGCGCACCCAGCACGGGACCTGGCCCCGTGTCCAGCGGGTGGCGGATGGCCGTTAGCCCTGGTTTTGAAGGGCCTGTGACAAATTTGGTAGACTTCGGACAGAGGACTAGCCCGAGGGGAGTGGACAGAGGGCTGGAAGTGAAGTCCCCCAAGGAGGAGCTGAGCTAGGGTGGAGGGAGAGGACAGTGCGAACAGCTGGCAGACGGAGCCTTCGTGGTCAGGATGCTTCCAAGGGGATGAAATGCCCGCACTGAGTTCCTCAGACCGGGGCTGGGTGGGCACCTTGAGGGATGCTGTAGAAAAGGGGCCGGCGGGCGGCTCGCGCAAAGGGCGAGACAGCAGATGCTGTCGGCTGTGCAGACCCCCTGTCTGTACCACAACCCTGCCTTCTTAGCGAGGGTGCCTGTGTGCCGTAAAACTACTTACGAACAAGCGGGGGGCGGGGTGAAGATTTCAGGACCCTTCTGCCTCTGGGGTTCCAGAGCTCCCTGGACAGAGATGTTGAGGTTCCTTCAGTTCCTGCCCTTCTTCCGTCTGTGATAGGGCAGAGGAGGCTGCTTTGCTCCTTAACAGACTGGGGGGTGCTGGTGAGCACAAGGGTATGGCTGGAGGGTGCAGGGGGTGGACTGGCTGTCACCCCTCCTTGGTTCACCCTGCGGCGTTTTGGCAGATGGCTTTTGAGTCTCACCCACACCTCCGAGGATCATCCATCTCCTCCTCCCTGCCCACCATCCCTGGGGGAAAGCCGTGAGTATGGGGTGGCCTCGGGACACAGCTCGACACCCTGGGGGGGCTCCACCCCAGGGGGGCCCCGAGTCTCCCTAGAACTTTCTGCCATGTTGCAGATGCTCAGGACCCGGTGCTATCCCATCTGATGGCCACCGGCCACGTGCTCGTGACCACCTGTGTGGGCAGCCCATCTGAGAACTGGGCGTCCACCTTTATTTGCGGTTAAGTGGCCCCAGGTGGCCGCTGGCTACTGTTTTTGTAGTTCTCCTATTTTTGTAGTTCTCCGAACTCAGGGGCATTTTCATGATTCCTGCACACGGTTATTAAGCTCACTGATATCCCAGCTTCTTTCGCTTTTACCTATGTCACCCTGAGCTCCGCGTCCGTGTCCGAAAAGCAGTGGGGGCAGCAGGGCGGGAAGGCGAGCGGCCACCCGGCGCCTTGCGGAGCGCCCGGCCCACCCCCGGGGCGGTCCCCCGAGCGTCACGCTGCACCTCCTGCGCAGGGCCTACTCGTTCCACGTGTCCGCCGACGGGCAGATGCAGCCGGTGCCCTTCCCGTCCGACGCGCTGGTGGGCGCCGGCATCCCGCGGCACGCGCGGCAGCTGCACACGCTGGCGCACGGAGAGGTGGTCTGCGCCGTCACCATCAGCGGCTCCACGCAGCACGTGTACACGGGCGGCAAGGGCTGCGTGAAGGTGTGGGACGTGGGCCAGCCGGGCGCCAAGACCCCTGTGGCCCAGCTGGACTGCCTGGTGAGGCGGCGGCGTTGGCGGGCGAGTGGGGCGGGGCTTGTGGGCCGAAGGGGCGGGGCTTGTAGGCCAGGGGCGGAGCTTGTTGGCCTAAGGGGCGGGGCTTGTTGGCTGAAGGGGCGGAGCTTGTTGGTCAAAGGGGCGGGGCCTGCGGTCCCCCGAGAGTGGGGCTGCTTTGAACTCCCGAGTCCAGAGCTGTGTTCTGGGACCAACGGGATGGGGCTCCCGGAGGCAAGGCTGGGGGAATCCAATCACTCTTCTTCCCTCCCTGCCCCCAGAACCGGGACAACTACATCCGTTCCTGCAAACTGCTGCCAGATGGCCGCAGTCTGATCGTGGGCGGCGAGGCCAGCACCTTGTCCATTTGGGACTTGGCAGCTCCCACGCCCCGCATCAAGGCCGAGCTGACCTCATCGGCCCCTGCCTGCTATGCCTTGGCGGTCAGCCCTGATGCCAAGGTCTGCTTTTCCTGCTGCAGCGATGGCAATATCGTGGTCTGGGACCTGCAGAACCAGACCATGGTCAGGTGGGTGGTGGGTGCCTGTGTCCTCGGCAGGTCTCTCGTGCTTCCCTGGTGCGGGCGCACGGGACTGGTGGAGTGGCCTGGTAGGATGCTGGAGCAGAACCCACCCCAGCGGCTCGGGCCCTTCTTCCTCCAGGCAATTCCAGGGCCACACAGACGGGGCCAGCTGCATCGATATTTCCGATTACGGAACTCGCCTCTGGACAGGGGGGCTGGACAACACGGTGCGCTGCTGGGACCTACGGGAGGGCCGCCAGCTGCAGCAGCACGACTTCAGCTCCCAGGTGCCGATGGGGGGAGGGGAGTCCTCCCCGCCTCTCCCCTTGAGGCACCCACTTCCAGGCACTAGGCAGAACTAAATGCCTCCTGGCCACGTCAGTCCTTCTTGTCCCCCAGACAAAGCCACAGGCTTCTCCTTTTTTCCCAAAGACAGACACGGAGACAAAGGAGCAGATGATTATTAAGCTGTGGGGTGCTGAGACCCCTCTGATTATCTTCTTGTCAGTGCTCACCAAGCCGTCCCCCCTTCTCAGAGTGGAGCCGAGGTCAGGGGAGGGCCTTCAGGAACGGCCCCCTGCCTCGGGCTTCCGGGCCCTCCATGCCCCAGGGTCACACGCAGCATGCCCGTGACCCTTCTGGACCCCCTCTTATTACTGTTCCTCCCTTGGGCCCACCTGGCTTTCCCTTCTTTTCTCCAACTGGTAAACTGTTGCCCATCTTCAACACCTGTGCAACTGGCCCTTTTCTAGAAGCCTATAGGTAGCTAAGTCCTGAACATTCTGTTCTATGTTCTCTTCCCTTTCATTTGAAAGTTTCTTGGATGAGGAATTCAGGGGTGCAGGGGGATACAGTTGTTTACCCCCATCCCACCAGGCCCTGAGCTTTCCACAGGCATGCTTGCAGATGGCCAGGAAGGATGCTGGCCACCTTCTAGTCTCCTCTCCGCTGTGAGTTTATGGTTCTTTCCACGTGTCTCATTTTTCAGGAAGAATCGGTCAGGTTTAGGGTGGAACAGGACCGTAATCCTCTTTGCCTTCCCTGGGGTGGGGCACGCTGGGGTGGGGCACCGAGTGACCAAGCCACGTGTCCATCTTTTCCAGTCAAAGCAAAAGGAGGTGTGGGCAAGTGGGGGGGGTTCTGGGCTGGGAGCTGCAGGCCTGGTCTTTCAGACGCGTTTGTGACCTTGAGCTGGCATGGCCTCAGCTTCCCTTCCACCATCTGTCCAAGGGGAGCTACTGTCCTCACCCGGCTTCACCCCCACCCCAGCCTCCTTCCTAGAGCTGTTGTGCTGTTGAGCGGATAATGGGTGTGAGGCCCCGGGGTTCCGTGTAATTCTGATTAATATTAATGATTCGACATGCAGTTGCCTGCTGTGTTCCAGGCCCTGGGCCAGCTGCCTCTCCAGTGAGCACTGCAAGTGGGCAAGCTCTGGCCTTCTCCCCTGGCCTGTACCCCTAGATCTGGGCATCCCCCAGAGGCCCACCAGGTTTTTGACGCCAAGTCTCGCCTCTTCATACCCAGATTTTTTCCCTGGGCCACTGCCCCAACCAGGACTGGCTGGCTGTGGGTATGGAGAGTAGCAACGTGGAGATCTTACACGTCCGCAAGCCGGAGAAGTACCAGCTGCACCTTCATGAGAGCTGCGTGCTGTCACTCAAGTTTGCCTCCTGTGGTGTGTCTGCCCGGGGCTGGGGTGCGGGGCGCTGGGGCGCTGGGGTGCTGGGCCGGGCTGCCAAAGCACACAAGACAGAGGAGGCCTGGTTTAGTTTGAAGCTTCGATAAACAACCTATCATTTGTTAGCATAAGTCTACCCCAAGTAATGTCTGGGATGGACTTACACTGAAAAGCAGCTACAGCAAGTTCTCTCTTAACGCCTTTGTGAGGTTTCTGGAAAGCGCAGTTTTAAGCAAACTGACTTGGAGTGAAAACAGATCCTTGAAGAACAGTTTTATTCACCATTGGGCCTGAGTTGTTTGTTCTCATCAACAGTATAATGAAATGAGATGGAACAAAAGGACATTATTTGAGGGCTTCTCATTTGTTGGGACAAATATATCCCACATTTTGCATGGGACTTACTGAGACTAAAAATGACTGTTTTGTTAAAATACAGTCATATGTTGCTTAGTGACGGGTACACTCGGAGAAAAGCGTCTCTAGGTGTTTTTGCCTTTGTACAACCATCATCGGGTTTCATGGTGCAAACCTGGACGGCTTGCCCGCTCACACTGGGCCGGAGAGTCCTGCCCGGCGGGACCCCTGCCCCCCCCAATCTGCAGTCCCTTGTTGGCTGAAATGTTGTCAGGGGGCGCCTGATGGTGCGCCCACATGCTGCCCAGGGCCCACATATACTAAAACAAACACCGCAGCGGCACGCTGGGGACACACCTGTCCCCGAGACTCGCGCTTCATCTGAAGCCGATGCCACTGGGTACCTGCCACCTACTTGCTCTTCCTCCTCTGGGGGGACACGTGGAGCCCTGTGGGTCTTGACTTCCCCATCTGGAAAATGGGGCGACGCACTGTCCTGGCATTCTAAAGAGCCTCACGGCTCCCAAAGGAAGGGAGAGGCCAGACTCGCCTGCCTCCCAGGGCCTGTCGCCGGCCCCCGGGCTTCAGCCCCTCCTCGCTGGAACTCTTGCCCTCCTCCCGCAGGGCGCTGGTTCGTGAGCACCGGGAAGGACAACCTGCTGAATGCCTGGAGGACGCCCTATGGAGCCAGCATTTTCCAGGTACCCGCCGGCTGGGGTCCCCAGGGTGGCAGGCAGTCGTGCAGGGCCCCAGGGTGGCAGCGCTGATGGTTAAACAGCCTGGGACCCCCACCCCTGCCCTGCGCCCCCCCCCAAGTGCTCGGCCAACTTCCGCCCTCAGACCACACCTGCTGGCAGCCAGACCTGGTAAGACACCTGCAGTCTGGACACGCCCCCGCCCACCTTGAGGTGCACAGCGCAGTTACGGAAGCATATGCGTGGTGTGGCCACCCCCACTCCCTCTCCAGATCGCCCCTCCCCCGCCCCGCACCCCCAGCCGGTCACTGTGGTCCTCTGGGCCCCCGGGAGCGGCTGGCCCAGCGCCTGCCTGGCGCTGCTGTAACAGTCACGCGGCCTGGCTGCGGGCTTTTACTTCCCCTGGGCAGGAAGCTTGGGATGGAGGCGCTGGTAGCTCCGGGGCACCTGCCAGACTGTTGCCCAAATTCATTCCCACGAGCAGTAAATTAGGGTTCAGCATTCTCCCCATGTTCACCAACCCTTTTACTGTCTCTGTTTTACTATAGTCATTCTAGTGGGTGCAGGGTGGTTTTTACATTTTGAAAAAGATTTATATATGCACACAAGAACTGGGGTACAGGCCAGAGGTGCGGGGGGTGAGATTCATCGGTCAGAGCGGGGAGCAGGTCAGATCAACCAAAGTACACTGCTGAGGGGCACAGTGGGCGGATCAAGAGAGGTCTGCTGCACCATGTGGGTCCCTCCCTGGCCGGGGATCGAACTCCTCTTGCTGCAGTGGCTGAGAGGTTCACAGTGCTGCGCTTTAACCTGTTGCGCCACCAGGGAGGCCCGGTTTTTACATTTTTTAAAAAAAAATATTTATTTGTGCATACAGAACTGGGGTACAGGTCAGAGACTCAGGGGCGGCGAGAGGCTTCACCATAGACAGAGTGGGGAGCAGAACAGACAGATGGACGAAGTACACTGCTGAGGGGAGCAGCGGGCGGGTCAGGAGAGATCTGGCTCGCCATGTGGTCTCCTCCGGGGCAGGCGGGGATCGAACTCGTGCTGAAGTGGTTTCAGCTTCTTAGTGCAGTGCTTTAACCCGCTGCGCCACCAGGGAGGCCCGGTTTTTACATTTTTTAAGGGTTGTAAAAAAAAAAAACAACAGACCATGTGGTGAAGGCTGACTCGGCTCTGGACTCACTTGGACCTTAGGCCCGGCCCGGAAATGTATGGTTGGGCCCAGGATGGGCTTCCTGAGCCCTGGTGCGGGTCACGTGCTGGAAGCCCCCGAGTGCCGTGCTCTCCGTGGATGGCTGTGTGGCCCGGCCCGGGCACACCCTCGCTTGTGTCAGGGGAGCAGGGGTCCTGCCTGTCCCCCGAGCGCTGTGGCGTCTCCAGGGGCTCTGCTCCAGGTCACCCTCCTCCGCACACTGGGAGATCCCCGGCTCCCAGTCACCTGGGCTGGGAGCAGGGCTGCCTGTTTGCCTCCCCGCTTCCCACTGGCCCCTCACCGCCCTCGTCTCTCCCCCGCCCCGCCACAGTCCAAGGAGTCCTCCTCTGTGCTGAGCTGTGACATCTCCGGGAATAACAAATACATCGTGACGGGCTCAGGGGACAAGAAGGCCACCGTGTACGAGGTGGTCTACTGAGGCCTCTCTTCCGTGTCCCCCGCCCGGCCCCGAGGGAGGGCCACCGGGACACTGCACCCAGCACCCCTGCCCCCGGCGACCTGTGAGTGATAACTGCTCCCCAGAGGCCCCTCACATCTTCCCCTCTGGGGGAGCTGGGGGGGTTGGGGAAATACATGTATTTATCACAGCTGCCTGTCTCTTGGCTGGGGGAGCTGGGCCCACCGCTGGCTTTCGTCGGGTACCTGGGCTGCTTTTCCCTTATTGGGGCGGTGGGATCACTTCCTGTGGGAGAGTGCCGGCTGCGCTAAGCTACGGGACACACGGAGCTGAACACAGAGCGTCGCCGTGCCCTAGCCACCGGGCAGTCTGAGAAGGGCAGTCCCGTCTTTCCCGACCCCGTGCAGCGCGAGTCCCCGGACCGGATGGTGTCGTCCACCGCACATCTGGGCTGTGAGGTGTCGTCTGGCGGGGCTCCCCGGCTAGATCTGGTCTGTTGTCGGCCGAGACATCACAGAGCAACGCTAGTGGCTCCCCCCACGCCCAGTGCGGGGCCCACCAGCACACTCGGGGCTCTGGGGGGGGGTGCTGCCCCCTTGACACGGGCTGCAGGGCCCCACAAGCTGCATTTGACCTTTTAATGCTCCGGCCCCGAAGTGTCCAGTGTCAGACTTGCAGACAGACTCGCCCTAAGACACGTCCACGGGTTGGGGAATGTAGGGGAGTGGGCAGCTGTTGGGGTGTAGTGTTTCCCTGACATCCAGAGGAACTCCCGACCGGGCGTGACGCCCGGTCCCCAGTAAGGCTCTAAGCAAATGTCACCACCCCAGAGGAGGGACAGCTAAGCCTGTGAGGACAGCATGTCCAGGGCTCCGCGCAGGAGCCTGACCGCTGTGAGCGGGAGGGCGGGCTCTGCCCAGCCTCCAGGTGCGCGCCACAGGGAAGCCCGTGGGAGCAGCAGCTGAGGGCAGGTGACGTGGATCTGGCTTCGGATCTGAAGCGCAGGTGGGCTGCAGGGAGCCGCGCTGGTGGGCTACAGGGAGGCTGGAGGTCAGGGGGCCCTGCTGCACACAGGCCAGGTGGGGTCCTGAGGCTCTTTGTGGAAATAGACTCCAGGTAGAGGCAACCAAACCTGGACACCAGCAGGCCCTGTTACCCTGGAAGCAGGGTGGGCAGGTGGGCTGCTGGTCCCATAAGCTGGCTCGTCGCCTGGCACTGACAGCAGGGTGGCTCTCAGGGGGAGCGGCGCCAGGCACCCCGGGTGGGGCAGCACCTCTGCCCCCACCCCCGGCAAGGAGCACCCCAGTTCTGAAATGCACAGATGGCCCCCAGCACCGTCCAGTGCTGCAGAGGGGCTGGCTCTGGCTGGGACGCCCCTGTCCAAGACAGGGTATCTGGGCAGGAGCCGCTGGACCTGGTGACATCGGCTCAGTGGCGGGGGTCACTGAAGGGCTGATGGAGCTCCTGCTGGATCTTGGGATACACAAGGCAGGGCAGGTTCGGGCACAGAACCAGATCAACCCGACTTTTTCAGTTGCTTTATTAGAGTGATGAAGAGCAGCTGCCCATTGGGGCGGCACCGAAGAAACCCCTCCGTGGGGAGCCCCTCAGTAGGTGATCTGGTACACCGTGGCCTGCTTCTGGGACCCCGTGATGATCAGGCGGTTGTTTGGGGACACATCGCAGCATACGATGCAGGAGGTCTCGGGGACCTGGGCGGGGCGGGGCGAGTCAGCTCTGGCTGCGTTGAAGCCTGGGACATCCCCAGCAGACGCAGCCCCCAGCCCCCAGCGCACCCTCCTACCTGGAACACCTTCGTCCCCGTGGGCATGCTGTAGACGCTGACCAGGTTGTCCGTCCCAACGCTCACCCACCACTGACCTGCAGGAGGCAGAAGCTGCCAGTTATGTGGGAGTAAACTGGCAGCCGGCAGCTGAGGCTCAGGCTCAGACCCGTGGGGTCGGGGGTGGGGGTAGTGGGGGGAGGATGCTCTTGCTGAGAGCATCAGTCCCCAAGTGGTTCCTGTTGGCAAGGGCTCTGGGCTGGGGGGCAAGGGAAGGAGCCCCGAGGGGTCAGAAAGCAGCGGCGGAGCTGCCGAGGAGGGTGCTCCCGTGGGGGGCTGATCCCCACTCGGCCGCTCACCCAGTGGGGAGAAGCGGAGACCCAGGATGGTGCTGTCCTTGCACCCCACTGTGTACTTCTGGCCCCCGTGGGTGGGCTGCAGCCACTGCTGGCCCGTCGCTGTGCCCACCAGGAGAAGGTCCTCCCGGGGGTGGGGGGACAGGCTCATGATCTGGGGGCAAAGGGAGAAGGGGACCAGTCATGTTTCCGCCCGCCTGGGAGTTGGGCAGCAGCACCGGGAGTCCCCCCGGGCGGCCACCTGCCCGTCCCTGGCTGCGAGGCCCCCAGCGAGCAGCTTCACCCTCGGCCACCCCTGCCCAGTGTGGAGCTGGGCTTTGCGCTCAGTACCTGCGTGGCCACACAGAGCCCAGACGAGGCCGTGAGTAAGCACGTACGCACGTGTCCAGTTGTCTGGGCACCAGAAGAGCAGGTCTAGTGGCCCTGTCCCTCCTGGCATCACTGTGACTTGGGGACCCACCACGCCCCGGTCTTCCCCAGTGTCTAACTCCTCCACTCAGGAGCAGGGGCCAGCTGCTACCTGACCACGCGGGCCCCACGCCAGCCTGCACACCTGGGAATCAAACTGGTACTCCTGGGGCTCCCTGGGGGACCTCAGGTCCCAGCACCGCAGGCAGGCGTCCAGGCCCCCGGTCCAGACTTGCTGCTCTCTGACAACCAGGTTCCTGGCTCCATCCTGAGCGCCCGGCAGGTCCCTGGGCCGGGGAGACATGGGGGCACAGGCTGGCCCGAGACTGAGCTCTGAGCCCTGGGAAGGGGGGAAGGTGAGGCAGACCAGGGCTCTGGCTCGGACTGCTGGGCCTGCTGGGTGAGCTGGGACAGGGCCCACCCGCCCGGGCCGCACCTGACCACACTCTGGTCCCGCAGGTCCCAGATCCTGACGGTGCCATCGCTGAAGCCGGCCAAGGCCAGGCTGTCCTTGAGGTTAGCGGCCAGGGCCTGGCAGGTGGACTCCACACAGGGCAGCTGATCCCTCATGTGCAGGGAAGGGGCCCGCAAGTCCCACACGGTCACGCCAGCCAGGCTGTTGCCGCCCATGAGCAGGGTCATACTGCTTGGGGTCAGCAGGCAGGTACGCAGGTGTGCACCGGGGGTCTGGGAGGGTAGAGTTGCAGTGAGCTTCCTCCCTGGAGACAGCCCTTCCGGCGCCCCCAAGCCCAGCGCCCTCAAGCCTGGCACCCCCCGAGCCCGGCCCCCCCGAGCCCCAGTCCACACCTGTATGGTCAGGTGGCTCTCAGGAAACCTGTCCTCCATCACCTGGCCCACCAGGCTCCACACCTTGACACCACTCCTGCCACAGGTGAACGCGTGCCTGGTGAAGCTGCTGATGGTGGTGACAAGCAGGGTCTCCCCGTGTGTCAGCACCCGCATCTTCTCCATCCTGTGTGGGACGGCCAGCTTCTTGGCTTGCCAGGGCAGGGCGTCCGGCCTCTCCCACGTGTCTTCGAAGTCTTCGGGGTCCCAGCATCTAGAGGGAAGGGTCTCAGCGCCCCCGGCCTGCCTGTGAGCCGCTCTGCCTGAGGGGCACCCCTCAAGTCCCAGAGGGCTGCTTTCAGATGCCGGGCTTCTCTCAGGCCTTCTTTCCTCAAGGGCCTATCCATAACCCTTCCCACACTGCCTCGCCCCGAACACTGCTCCCTTTTGCCCGGATGCCTTGGCCTCTCCTGGCGAGCTCCTGCTCATCCTCCGGGCCTCCACCATAGGTTCCTCCCTCCAGAAGACTCTCCCCTGATCTGGGCGCCTTCAGCTTGCCACTTCAGATCACAAAGCTGTGACTGTCTGCGTCCAGCTCCGACAGCTCTTCACCTCCCCCTGCCATGGAAACGCTTCCCCAAAGCCTTTGAGCCAGGCGTGGTTATTCGGGGCGAGGTGGTGACGCTGGCCGGGTCCACCCTCTACCCAGACCCTTCAGCCCCTGCTACAGAGAACAGAACCACGTGACGGGGAAGGCGCCGTGTGGACACTTACATGGGCTTTAGAAACTGACAGGGCCTCCGAGCAGACTCCTGGGGGGACCAGAACCACAGCTGAGCCCCTCGACCGTCTGCCCTGAACCCCCAGCCTTTGCTCAGGTCCCAGCCTTACCTGGGCTGCGTGGAAGAGTCTCCCCCCTGGCGTTCCCCCGGAACCTGTGCTCTCTGCGTTCCTGGGACCCTCGGGGGAGCCGGGGGAGGGCACAGGCCGGCTGAGCACTGGGTGGAGACAGGAGTGGATAAGCAGCAGGCACCCCCTTCTTGGGGGCAGGCCACCCCCACTGGGGTTACCCGTGGTGTCTGGGGTGTCTTCGGCAGCAGGCTCTGCCCTCTGGTGATGTGGTCCGGGGCCCTGGCTTTCCTGCCCTCGGGAAACGGAACCGCCTGGTCAGACCAGAGCTTGGGTCAGTCTCCGAAGCAGACCCCCCCTGGGAACCAGGCATGTGGGTCCTGCATTCGGGTTCACTCTCAGGGGGCTGGGCTGGTTCTGGTGGGGGTGGGCAGGGAGAATTACTGAGGGGAGGAAGCGAAAAGCCGGCTGAGGCCCGCAGGGTGCCCACCCTCGGCTCACTCACCAGGCCTGGTGCCTGTTCTGTCGCTGTGACGGGGGGAAGCGAGACAGGGCTCGGCAAGGGGCCACCGGCCTCCCCTCCACGGGGCCGTGGCCACCCCGCTGCCCCACCCTGGGGACACTCACTCCCATGTCCTGGCCCATCTGCTTCATCACGGAGCCCGACAAGAATCTGCCAGAGTTGCTCAGTCAGAACATCCTCCCAAAACTGGGGTTCGGCGTCCCAGGGGGGCTTCGTGTCCAGCTGGCTAGCTGCAGCCTCTTCCGCTCGGGAGAGCTGCTGGAGCCAGTCAGATGGCCTCGTGGCAACGACATCGCTGAGGGCTGGGCCCTGGAGACTGGAGGGCCGCAGGGGCCTGACTCTGGGGTGCCAGGGAGCCTTGGGGCTGGCCGGCCCCCAGGAGTCCTGCTCGGGCTGTTCACCAGGAGTAAATGGCTTACCTGGGGTGGCCTTCTCCAGGTTTTGAGGGGAGGAAGACGTGCATTTGCTCTGAGCTTCTCCCCTCCTCCTCGAGGCCCCGGAACCCTACCTTCCTGGGCTGGAAACCCAGGGGTTGCCTGCAGGTGTCCAAGATCCAGAGGAAGTTTTCTGTCTGGGGGATGTGAGAGGGGCAGTGAACCCTGTGACTGTGCCGCTCGAGGGAAGGGGTGAACCTCCTCCTCCTCGCAGGCCAGCTGCCCCCATGTGTCCGTGGGCTGGACCACCTGTCCTGAATGTTCTGGGTGTGGGTGGGAACCCAGCGTGCTCTGCGCTCCAGGGAGAGTTCTGGTGCACAGAAGTGGCAGAGGAGACGAACTCCGCCTGGCGGCCGGTCCCCAGGGACATTCGCAGAAAGTGGAGTCAGATCGGGGTCTGCACCCCAGACGTTTCGGGGAAAACTAAAACCTGAACACTACTCTCTGCTTAAAATGGCTCCATGAAACCAGCCACGTGTCCGTGGAACTGACTGGAATTAGCATAGTGCTGAAGGACACAGAAAGAATCTCTACGCTCCCTTTTCTTCCTACCCACAGGTGCTTCTTGCTTTCGGACCTGGCCTCTCTGCAGGACTCTGCTGTCCCCGAGCTCTTTCCACACCTGGCCCATCCTCCCGAGCCCCTCCTTCCCCGGGTTGGGCCACCCTGCAGCAGATACCAGCCACAGATGGCTGTTTAAATAGAAAGTACAATTAAAAGTGTAATTCCTACAGCCCCACCAGCCACATTTCAAGTGCCAGGTGGGACTTGTGTCTGCCAAAGCAGGTGGGTACAGCTCTGAGGAGAACAGGGTTCCTCGCGTGTGCTTGGCATCAGGCTGGGGACACAGACCAAGAAAAACGGGAACCTCCTGGCCAGCGTTCCTGAGAATACACAGGCAGAGAGCCCCCCCCCCCGCCCCACAGCAGCAGGGGCTTTATGGGAATGTGGCTGTGCGTGCTGCCATTAGGCCAGTGCCAGGCTAAATGTAGTGATGCTGAGGAGGCCTAAGACCTCCCTCAGGAGGGGGCTGCAGGCTTCCTGAGGCTGTCCAAGGAGGCAACACCCAGGGCCTTGCTGATTCACCATCCCCTAGGTGAATGCCAAGAAGTACCCCCGAGGCATCTGGCCCAGGGCGAACTCTAAAACCCTGGAGAGCTGTCCTGGTTCAGGGAGGATGATGACTGATAACGGAGGACAGTATACGGCTGGTGTCCCATTTTGCAGAGGAGAAAATCAAGGCCCAGAGAAGCCAGTTTCCTAAAGGCAGGGCCAGCAGGCCCAGGCATCACTGCCCGGGTTCCACCCCCAGCGCAGACAGCCTGGGTGTTGGGCACGCAGGGCAGGCGAGTGGGAGAACTGAGCCCCTCTTGGGGCCCTGGTGTTCCAGGCGGCCCCCTAGGGCAGCCAGTGACGGATTCCCCAGCTGGGCCTCCCAGCAGCACAGCCCCTGGGGAGCCTTCCCCAATTCGCCCTGGCTCGTTAATGCGCAATTTGCTGGCACTTTAATGCACTCAGCATGAAAAGCACTGCTCCCTCCTGCTGCCTAGCTGGCCCTCCCTGGGGAGAGCTGTTCAGAAGGGGGTGGGGAGCAGGGGGGCCCGCTGCTGCTTGGGATTTTAAGTTCACAGAGGAATCTAGGAAAACAAGGAGAGTGAGATGGAGGAGAGGTGGAGGTAGAGGGCTGGAGTGAAGCCAGCCCGCTGGGCTGGGCTGGGCTGGGGTCCTCTGAGATCAAGGGGACCTTGTCCCCCAGTGTCTTGATTCTCAGCAAGTTGTTAGGTTATTCCACAAAACACAGCCACCATTGTTCATTTCTTCCCACCCACCTGCTCTCAGTGACCCGCCTACCACACCTACAAGTCCCAGCTGATGCCCTCAGCAGCCACCTCCCCACGGCAGCCACCAGAGGGCACCATTGAGCAAATGAATCACGCTGCCACCAGGCCTTCCAGGGCCCCCACCTCCCTGGGGTGGAGAGCCCAAGCCTCCCCATTACCATCAGACCCTCACTTCTTCCCACCCGCCCTTCCTCACTGCTGAGGCCGCCCGCAGGTCTCTCAGCTGTTCCTCCCAGGCAGGCGCAGGCTCCTGCCCCAGGGCCTTTGCACGCACTGTGCCCCTCCCTGGCCTCCTCACCCCAGACATCTCCCTTCCTCTGATGTACTCCAAGAGTTTGCCTACATCTCAGTGGGTGTTCACTGACCACCCTGACCCCCACACACTCCCACCCTGACCCCCACCTTTGCCTTGGGGCTGCCTGGCCCCGCCTCGCACAGCCCTCACTACTGGCACCTGTTTCCTATCCTCTCTCTCTCTCTCTCCCCATGGACAGGGGCTATTTCCTTGAACAACACTTGGCAGGTGGATGACAGATAAGTATCTGTTGAATGAATAACCATGTTCTGGGAGTCGCCTGGGCCCCCTCATGCTGGATCTGTCTTCTCCCTGTTCCCTGAGCTGCTCACCCCAGGCCCTGTTAAGTTGCAGACATGGCCCTGGCACCCTGCCAGTCACATCTGGCACTGGCAGGAAAGTTGTGCCAGCACCCAGGAGAAGGGCCAGGTGGCAGAAGGGCAGGCAGGGTAGAGACGTGCCTCAGCGGCAGGCGCTAGTGTGAGGAGGCAGGAGTCTGGGCCAAGAGCAGGCCTGCCTTGCTGGAGAGTGGCCTGTGCCCTTCACTGGGGAATTTGCACTGGCCTGGCGTGCGCAGCACACAACAGGCACACTGGCCTGAAGGCATCAACCTGCGAGCGAAGTGCGGGAGCAGCCCCTGGCCTCATCCCAGCCACGCAAGGCCCCTGGAAGGGGCCAAGAAGGCAGGACTCGGAGGAGAGGTCATTCCCACTGGGACCCACTGCTGTCCGACCCACAGCCCTCAGAGCCCCCAGCTTGCTGGGGGTAGAGCCAAGTATTCCCCACACCCAGCGGGCTCTTCCTGGTCCCCTCCCTGCCTTCAACTCCCCCCTCTGCCTTTGACCCCCCCCTTAAGGAGGGGCAGCTATACCCCAACTTCTGCTCACTCACCTGTTTGTGATACTCCTGAAGATCCTGCAGAATCTTCTGGAGCTGCAAAGGAACAACAGGATCATACTGGGAATGGTCGATGGCAGTAGGGAGTCTGGGGCAAGCTGTGGCACTCTCCCTGGCTGGGTTCCCGTGGGCAAGCAGCTCTGTGCCCACTCTCATCAGAGGGGCACAACAACCATGCAGGATGGGAGCCAGGGGCACCCCTGGACTTCACTCTCACGGGGAAGGTCAGAGGCCTCTCTGCAGCCAACACGGCCCAGCATGACCGTCCCCCTCACTGTCTCCCTGCTGTTCTTCAAGCATGCCGACACGGTCCTGCCCCAGGGCCTTGGCACATGCTATTCCTACTGCCTGGGTCCTCTTCCCTCTTCTCTCAGGAGCTCCTTGTGGTCAGAGTTTCACTGGTGAGCATCACACCCTCTGAGAAGCTTCCGGAATACCTGAGCTCAAAATCTTCACTGCTTTCATCCCAACTTCTGCTCTCCCAGTAGCGCTTACCTTTTGTAAACCTGGCTTCTCTCTAGCTAGTTATCTTCCCCTGCCCTGAACTGTCCTATCCGGGAATGTAGTCACACCAGTCCGAGGTTGCTATTTAAATTAAATCACGTTAAAATCGAGTTCCTTACAAGTGTTCAATAGCCACATGTGGCTGGTGGGTACATGGATGGACCCTGCCGATACAGAACACTCCCAGTATTTCAGAACATTCTGGAAGGCCGTACCACTCTAGACCATACACGCCTGCAGGGCAGGCACTAGGCATGCACAGGAACCCTAAAGGACCAACCCAGGACCAAAAAGACATCTTTACATATGGAATTTATAGTTTTATAGACTTATAGGTTAGTATGATGAAAAACCTCACATGAAAAAGCTGGGGTTCAACAGGTTAACTCGCTCCCCCAAAGTAAGTAAATAGAGGTGTCCCCAAACCAGGTTCCTGACACCAGAACCACAACCTGACAGGAGGGGCTGCCTGGGGCTCACCGAACGGTCCATGTTCTCCAGCTGTGCTCGCAAGTGTTCTGGGAGCCTGAGGAGGTGGAGGGGGGTGGAGAGAGACCAGCTGGAGAGGCTCCTTAGGCAGGAGCCCACCCCCAGCCTGGACAGGGGGGGGGCGCTGAGGTCAGCAGATGAGGCTTTCTTTCTAGAAGCCACATTTAAGGCAGTGTCGAAAGGAATCAGACTTTAACACAGTCATTTTTAAATTCATAATTTCATGCCAACAGAGTCATGCTGAATGGCAAAAACATTTAAACAAGGTTGGGGCCGCTTTCCCCTTGGGCCTAGGACGGTGCTCCCCATATGTCCTGCCTCAGCACCTGGGGCTGGGGCCACTGGGAGCCGGATGGGAGCTTGTCCCTCACAGGGGCTGGGGCCCTCCGGCCTCCCTGGGGCATCTCCCTCACCTGGGGAACTGCTTCCTGAGTTGCTCCAGAAATCCCTGAGAGTTGAGGGCTGGCAGGCTGGGCTGGAAAAGCCGAAGTGGGGAGGGAGGGAAAACACCCCGAACTTGAACTTGCCAACACCCCTCCCTTGAGAACTCTGATGAGCCCCCGAGGAAGGGGTTGGATTGGCTCTGCTCACACCTGAAGGTTTGCTTTCCTTCTTGTTACTTCAGCACCTACAGAGTATCCTCCATTTTGCATCGTAGACTAAAGTCTAAAATACACTCTCTGACCCTTCACAGAAAAACTGCACTCGCCCAACCCAAACTGTTAGAAACAGTCCCTTCTGAGAAGATGGGGACCCCCCACGCAAGGTGGGGCCCGGGCTTTCCCTGCAACATCAGCTGAGTAGATGCTGTAGTCATGTGTTTCATCACCTGGGTGATAAGACGTTTAATTAAAGAAAGTACCTTGGCACCTGCCAGGAGGCACGATGGGTTAAGTGCCCCAGCCAGAAGGCCTGGCCAACACACTCACCCCGTGTCCCCCCAGAAGGAGTGGGAGAGCTGGATCTGAGCCTAGACTCTCTTCACCTTCCCCCCTCTCACCCCCTCCCCCCCCAGCTAGTACCACACTCCCCTCACCAAAGCCCCTGGGGGTTCTGCCATCTCCCAAGGCTGCTCCTGGGAACTGAGATGGCCCCTGGAGGTCAGCGTCCACTAGGGCTTTAGCCAGACTCTGAAAGTAACAAGGACACGCAGGTCCTGAGCAGCAGGCTAGGTGGCCGCAGGGCCAGGAGCACCCCACCCCACTCAACGCGGTCTCCCCTGCAGGGCCCGGGGATGGCCCCTGGCCCCTCTGGAGCTCCAGCATGCGTCGTGTTCCCCTGTATTGGTTCATTGAACAGGCTGATGCCTCCAGCCGCATGAATGATGGGGACCCCGGGGGCTCGGCCAAGGAGGACGGGGTGACTGAGACTCAGGAGCGGTGAGGGCTGGATCAGGGCGCCTGGCTCAACCTGAGCCTGCTCCCTAAAACACAGGAGAGCATGCTGCAGCGGGGTTTGGAAGGATAAGTAAGGCTGGCCAGGTGCATCAGGAGGAGCTTATCAGACAGGCAGAGAGTCCTCCCCAGCCACGGCGGCGGCTCCAAACCCCTGGCCTGGCTGCCTCTCAACGCCTCTCCGGTCTCTCCCAGCCCGGCGACCCCGGAGCCTTCCAGGAAACCCGTCCGCCTACCCACCTCCCTTAGGATGGAGGCCCAGGAGGAGCAAGGAGGAAGCGGCGGAGGGTCAGCCAAGTTCAGGTCAAGAGGAGGCACCAGCCCTCACACCCCGGCGGGGCTGGGGGACATTTGACCTCCCTGGCCCCGCCTCGCCCCGCCCCTACCCCGCCCGCCGCGACCGGCACCTTGAAGCCGATCAATGAACAAGCTGCAGCTGCACGTGGGCTCGGGCTCCGCCGGCGGCCGGCGGGGGCGCTGTCCAATCGTGAGGCCGTTTGCCCACGTGGGCAGCGGCTCTCGTCGCTGATTGGTTGCTTTTCCCAGGCCTGGGGCCTGGCTGTCAATCAGTGCGCGAGGCACAAATGCTTAACCCTTGCGGTCCTGCTGCCAGGCCAGCAGGTTGCAGGGCCGCGGGCAGAGGGGGTGAAGGCGAGATATGCAGAAGGCTTGAGGCTTGCGGGGTTGAGGGTGCTTGGAAGGGGCACTGGGCCGTGTGCTGTTGCTTTATTTGGTGAGAAACTTCGTAACTTTTAGCCTTGCCTAGGGAGGCTCACGGATTGAGGGCGGGGCTGCAAAAGGGGAAGGAGGTCTTTAGCACTCGCGAGTGTTTAACTATGGGCCAATAACTTTCCCTCAATGTTAATGCAAAAGAAACTTTGAGCCCCTTTTCCAGGGAAAACCGAAACGCTCCCTTTTATCTGGCTCTTCTAAGAGTCAAGCCTCAGGCTACGCATTTTATCAATGAATTCCCCAACTGCCCTCCAGCCCAGCAACTGAGGATCTGAGAGTCCCAAGCGGGATCTGAAGTCCTTGAGGCTGGTAAAGTCTTCCCAGGTTCAAGGTTAGGGTGGGAAGGAGTGGTGGGTCTCCCAGATCTGGGATGAAGTCGGAGGATAAATGGTGGGGCGGTGGCGGTGGCGGCGGGTGCAGGAATTCAAGCGTTCTCTTCTTGAGCTTTGAAATGTCTACTCAAGATGTGAAGTGGTCAGCCTGGGGTTTCGAAAGAGAGGCAAAGTTTCTGCCCGCCCCAGGACCTTTGCACTGGTGATTCCCACCTGGCATGAATAGTCGGTCTTCCCTCTGACAGTCACTAGCTGGTTCCTTCAACCTTCAACTCTGGCTCCCGACACCTCTCTCTCATCTCTCTTTCTTAGTTTATTTTTCTCCCAATGTGGTTTGAATTGGAGCTAATCTTGTAATCCCGGTGGCTCTAAGCCTTGCTGTGTTTGTAATTCATATAGGGGGAAATGAGGGTTTAGCTGTGGGGCTACGTGACCCCCCCAGAGGATCTGATGTAAACACATAACTTGGGTTTTGTGGTTGGTCTGCAGAGGCGGACATGAGGGCTACCGGGTATGAGCGGCAGAAAAGGTTTCCGCCCATGATCCCTCAACTGACCCTTAATTGAAGTGTATTTTATTTATGGGCCAGCCTGCTAATTGCCTCCCTCTGTGCGCTTGGCTCGCCTCCTCTGTGTGGTTGTAAACTTTCAACTCTGAGCACCAGTTTCTCCAAGGCTGTCTTGTCTCATATCCACGGGGTACCTGTGGCGAGTCATATGAAAATGAATTAAAACTAAGTAATATGAAAAACCTAGTTCCTGCAGTGCACTGGCCACAGGTCAAGTCCTCAGCAGCCACCTATGGTTGGGGTCAAAATCCTCAGTGGTCAACACAGATCTGATGTTCTGCCAAAGGAAAAGTCCAAGGTTCATGTAGAAACTGGGGACATTTATAGCAGCAATTCCATTTCCAGTTGTTGAAAGCCCCCGCATGGGGTACTGTCTGGCATGAGGACTGGGGTGTGCTGCCTCCTCCAGGGTCTGGACCCTGGTAGCCAGCCTGCAGTAGATGTCCCAGAGGCATTTATTGTCTCCCTCTGGCTCCAGCCTGTCCAGGAGAGACCCACCTTCCTCACACCCCGAAGGAGGTGGGTGAGTGGGCTGCAGACAGCAAGAAGGATGTTGCAATTTCTTCTTGGTTTTGGAGTGGGCTGGTTTACTGGGAAAGCCTGGGTGAAAGTTTGAAAGAAAAAGAGGTTTGCAAAAGCTTGGGGGCTCTCGGGCCTCAGCCTTGGCTGCAGTCAGCAGTGCCCAGTAACCTGGGTGGAGCGTGGGCCCGGCCTAGGGCCCCAGAAAGCCCAGGTGCAGAGGGCTGTGGTGCAGGGAGATGACAGCAAGGAGGTAGTGACAGATCCCAGTCCCTCTGTTCTCATCCCTAGGACTGCCCAGTAGCCCACGTGGACAAGAAACAATAGGACAGAAGTGACCAAGAAGCTGCAGATCGCCTCGTGGGGGAGGGGAGGTGTGGGGGCGGTGGGGGTGCCCCGGCCCTGCCTGCCATAGGGACAGAGGAGCACAGGGACCTTCCACAGACACTACTGGAGCTCAAGGGCAGGTGTCCCCACGCCCAGACACCACAGAGCCTCCTTGAACTGAGGCCTGTATCCAGGAAAAGTGAATTTATTGAATTTGCTAGAATCGACTGAGATTTGCCTTCTGCCATCTGGTGGAGAGAGGCTGTGTTTGATTTCCCCAGGGCTGCTGGGATAAATGGCCACAAACTTGGAGGCTTCAAAGAACAGGAGGCTGTTCCCCCCAGTTCTGGAGGCCAGAAGTCCCCAGTCAAGTGTCGCCAGCTCTCTCTGAAGGCCCCCACGGGAGAACTCTGCCTCTCCCTTCGCCGCTCCAGCGGCCCTCGGTGCCCCTTGGTTTGTGGACCGTCACTCGGTCACTAGCTTCCTCCCGTCAGTCCAGGCGGCTGTCTCCCTGCGTCTCCTCCTATAATGGGGCTCAGGGCCCCCCACGCCAGTGTGCACGCCTCTTAATTAGTTATGTCTGCAGTGACGCTATTTCCAAATAAGATCACGTTCCCACTACTGGGACTCGGGCTTCAGTGTGTCCTTTTGAAGGTCACGGTCTTTCCATGGGATGAAAAAGAGAAATTAAGTCACTGCAGCAACCCTTTTAATCCTCTCGGAATGCTGATATTCCCATTTTACAGAGGAGAAAACTGAGTCCCACAAAGGTTAACTGTCTTTCTGAAGGGTCAAACAGTTGCTAAGTGGTGGAACTGGGATTCGCGCCAGGCCACTTTACTTGGGCTGTGCTCGTAGCTTATTCCAGAGTGGCCAGATTACATTCGGTTCTTGCATTGAGCACAGTGGCATTTGTTTCACCCACCTTGAGGGCCCAGGGACCACGTCTGGAGGAAGGTGCCCCTGTCCAGAAGTGGATTTGGGGTCTCTCGGAACTGGCTCTTTCACTTTTTGTAAAAAAAAATATTTTATTTACTTTGTGTAGAAGAACTGGGGTGAAGGCCAGAGATATGGGAGAGGGAAAGGGACCTATCAGAGACAGAGTGGGGAGCAGAACAGGCAGATCCACTGAAATCCACTGCTGAGGGGAGCAGTGGGGAGACAGAAGAGGTCTGCTGCGCCCTGGGGGTCACTCCCTGGCCGGGGATTGAACTTGGGCAGCAGCGGTGGTAGTGCTGAGACTCAACCCCTAGGCCACCAGGGAGGCCTGGCTCTCTCCATTTATTTATTTAAATATTTATTTATGCACATAGAACTGGGTGCCAGCCAGAAGTGTGGGGGAAGTGAGTGGATCCGCCAGAGACAGAGTGGGGAGAACAGCAGATGGACGAAGCACACTGCTGAGGGGAGCAGTGGGGAGACAGGAGGGGTCTGCTGGGCCCTCTGGCTCACGCCCTGGCTGGGGATCGAACTCGTGCTGAAGTGGCTGTGACTAGCTTCATTGCACTGTGCTTCGCCTCCCTGAGCCACCAGGGAGGCCCCAGCTCTCTCACTCCTAGGGAGGTCAGATGTATTCCATGACTGCTGCTTCCTAACAAATTGCTCCCAGCTTACGGCTGGAAACAAGGGACACATGTCACCCCACAGCTCCTGAGGTTGGGGTCTGGGTGGCGCCACTGGGCACTGATGTGATTCAGCCTTTCATTTTTTCCTCTTTCCTAGGAACACATCTGCCAATTAAAAAAATATACATCTTCTCAAATATTGGCTCAAGGCCGTGAAGCAGGGGAGGAAGTGCTGAAAAAAATGGAATTCCGGACCTGGCCTTGCTGCAACTTGCTGTGTGGATTTGGCTGATGGTGGCGCAAACCAGGGTAGCCCCAGGCGAGTGAGGGGGAGAGTTCAAGATGAAGAAACTGAGGTCAGAGGGGACACCTGGCCACACCTGGCCAGCTGGCCAGCAGAGGGGCTGGAATTCAAATCCGGCTTTCTGATGCAAAAGATTACTACTAAATACAAATCATAGCTAACCTTCAAGAAAGCACTGACCAGCGAGGCCCACCCTTCCCCTTACTCACTCTGGACCTGCAGGGGGCTGGTTTTCACTTCTCACCCGTTTTACAGTCTCTGTTTATGTTGAAAGGACACTTGCGTTTGTCCACGTGACCCCACCCCCTTTTTGGGTACT